TGTATGTACATATGTGACAAACTGTAAAGGTTTTTTGTGATGCGTTTCACCAGTTGAGATTTCATTGGACTGGGCTTTTTTGACGTTGGCATGTCTACATGCACAAAAAATGAGAGATACAGGTAGTTTCAAAATTTTTGAAAGAATATTTTTTTCCTCAATCTAGCTTGTTGATATATAAAATTATACAAAATTATATATCGTTACATCATATATATATATATATATATATATATATTTATATATATATTTGATATGATATGATATGTTAACAAACAAATAGTAAATATTAATCAATCTAACATATTTCACTTTTGTTAAAGAAAATAAGATATGAAGAAAAAAGAAATTCTGGTATTTTTATTTTTGTGTTGTTTGATTTTCATTAGTTAATCAGGATTCGTGTGCATTTGACTTATGAAACAATGTTCGTACAATTTATGGTGTTCTGAACTGAAAGTGAGACAATGCGTCCTTTCGAGTATCCAAAAAATTAATTGATTCCAAGCTTATTTGAATAAACATAAATATTGCTTTATGTATGTAAATGTATCATAATTTAAGTTTATCTATGTGGAATTCAGATGATAATGAATATTCATAAATGATTGTGTGTGGGTATGTACAATACACATTATTTAAAATTCACTATCTTTTAAGGCTGTTTCATTCAACACTCACACATACCACACAGCATGAAAAAGCCATCAAGAAAAAACAAGATATGGTTCAACCCACTGTACAACAAAAATGTAAAAACAAATATTTGAAAAAATATTCATTAAACACATCCAAAAACATGTCACTGTATCAAGCACTCTCCACAAGATGTTTAATACAAACACAGTAAAAAACAGCTACAGTTTCCTTGAGAACATGACACAACTAATGAAGTGTACAACAGAAAAATAACCAACAAATCACCCACAAAAATCAAACTCATCTGTAACTGCAGAGCAAAGAGTAAATGTACCTTAAACAGCAATTGCTTGCTAAACAAGGTAATATACCATGCTATTGCAAAATCAGAAGATGAAGAAAAAATATACATAGGAGTAACTGAAAGACCTTGGAAACAGAGAAACTAGGCACACAAAACATCCTTTATGAATAGTAAATATGCCAACAGCACAATGCTTTCTAAACACATGTGGGGAAGTAAAAACAAAACCAATTCATACCAAATATTCATGGAAAATAAGGAAAACAGCATCAGCCTACAGCAATAAATCCAAAAACTGTGAAGTCTGTCTGTAGGAGAAAATAACTATAATCAACTTTCCAGACCAACACCAATTACTAAAAGATCAGAACTCATCTCACACAGTAGACATAGATATGAAAACAAATCTTTATTGTTACTTAAAAATTGAAAAGTAAAAATGAATACAAAAAATAAGTAAAATAAAATAAATTAAATAAAACATCTAAATCAATAAACAAGTAAAGAAATTAAATAAATAATAAACAAATTAGCAAACTATGAATGCACAGAAAAACAAAAGTAAATGTGATAATAATAATCATCAAAAATAATAAAGTAATCAATGATAAATAGTTAGTAAAATAAGTTAACAGACAACACTATAAAATAACTACAAATAACAGCATTCAGATCCACAATTATCCCCACTCAATAGCCTCTAGAATAATTTGAAACATAACTGTTACTGTCAGCCCAATAACCGTTAGGATAATACAGTAGACCTTATTACCCATAACGCACTACTAAACAGCATATTTAAATACTGGAGCCAAAAAAATACACATGGCCTGAAGATTGCATTTAAGCATGAAACAGTGAGTGTTGACATCAATGTCCACTTTTATATTTATATATGCTCTATTACTGATATTGAGAACTTTAACCCATAAATATAGCATCCTATAAAGGAGTATTTTTACAGCAAAAAACAAAAATTACCTCAACATATTAATTAATTATTAAGTCTATTTCAAGCCGTTCTGTATACAACATTAAGATTTTGCAGGTAACTAAAGTCTCAGTCAGGCTTATCTGGCAATATCATTTTCCCCTTGGATTTTATATGCTACACCAAATATTTGAATTACTGGAAATTTGCATAATCATTACCACACACTCCACTATAGAGCCATGTATGCTACTAGAATGCATATACCTATACAGAAGGACAGAGGTGTATGTCCTGGGGCTGCATTTGCTATACGTATACATATATATCTATCAAAGTCTATTTATGCTGATATGCATTTCTATCTATCTATCTATCTATCTATCTATCTATCTATCTATCTCATTCTTTTCCTATCTATCTATCTATCTATCTATCTATCTATCTCATTCTTTTCCTATCTATCTATCTATCTATCTATCTATCTATCTATCTATCTCATTCTTTTCCTATCTATCTATCTATCTATCTCATTCTTTTCCTATCTATCTATCTATCTATCTATCTATCTATCTATCTATCTATCTATCTATCTCATTCTTTTCCTATCTATCTATCTATCTATCTATCTATCTATCTATCTATCTATCTATCTATCTCATTCTTTTCCTATCTATCTATCTATCTATCTATCTATCTATCTATCTATCTATCTATCTATCTCATTCTTTTCCTATCTATCTATCTATCTATCTATCTATCTATCTATCTATTTCATTCTTTTCTTTCTTTATGTCTGTTTCTCTGTAACTAACTCATTTCCTTTGAATCACTGACAAATTCTGCTTTGTCAAAGACATACACATCCTTGTAATTGACAATTTAAGAAACTTTCTACCAAATTCCATCACACAACACAAATCAGTAACTTTTCAACTAGGCAACAAGGAATACAAACAAATTAGAACCAAAATCGAAATAGTGAAAAAACTTAAATCAAAATAGCGAAAAGACAAATTTACTAAGAGCAACAATGGACAGGAAATTGTGGAAAGTTATGATCGTCTACATCCTCAAGAGACATGGCACAGAAGAAGAATATATAGAACTAGATGTAACATAGCTCAGAAAAGGAGAAAAAAAATCTATTCTTCAACAAACTACTGTTCTATTCTGTGGCATGCAAAGGGGATGGCTGATGAGGCAGCACTCCATTCAAAACATTCGATGCAGTATATTATTTTTGTTGCAACAAAGCTAGTGATAAGCAAGAAGAAAACCATATTTTTTGTTTTTATTTAGCAAATGCATATAAAATTAGATATTAAAAATAAATAAAATAGTTTTTAATTTTAGTTTTAAAATGTCTATATTTGGCTGCTGGTACCTACTTGAATCCAAAGTTTTTTAACACCTATGTGAGAAGTCCAAGATTTTGGCATCAGTTCTTTCATTTTGATTTTTCATGTCTGTGAATTGGTAGTGAAAAGAAAGTTCAAAAGATATAAAGGGTGGGTGCAGAGATAGAATGCCATAAAATCAAAGACTATCTAAGAAAAGATTCTTGATTATTATTGAAACAATTAGTCACATTTTTATTCCTGTAGAGTCAACTTATTTTAAACAAAAATCTGAAAAACCAAAGGAAATTTGACATCAACAAATGTCATTTTTTTTTTTATTAATTCTATTTTAAAGAAATTTAAAATGTGTTTTAAGACAAAATGAAAAATCAGTTGCTGGCAATTTTTTTTAAAATCAATCTTTGTTTCATATTTGAAATTATATTTTTTAATGTAATGTGAAATTTTAAATTTCACATTACAAATTAAAGTAGATTTTTCTTTCATTTGTAGGGACCGTTGAATATTTTCGATTAGCAATTTCACTCAGTATTCACCCAACAGTACAACTAAATCTCTTTTATTAAATTTATATTTACGAACTTCTAAACCAAATAGCAAATAAGATACAACATCAAATATCACATTAAATTTGAACTAAATATTATTATTATTATTATTATTTATATCATGTCTTTCTTTGTATTGTACTAAAAACTATATAAACTATTGGTAAATATATGTTATTGACAGTACCACCAATATAGCAATAAATGACTAAATCTTTATAATTAGAATAAAAACGATAGTATGCATAATTATATTATGCAACCATCATGTAAATTTGGGATGTTAATGTGGTGGCCATTTCATATATTTGATTTTTGGCCATTAATTTTTTGTGCATTCGATTCTAAGCAAGATAAAAATCTTCTATTTTACTATTTATTATTAATAGTAAGTAAACCTGATTTTAGTTAATTATTAATAACCAACAATGTCACAGGAGCCAGAGGGAAAAATTCAAGAATTTCAAAACAAACTTAATTTTAATTAAAAATTGAAATGAAATATCTTTTAAAAATTAATCTTTCAGCTTAATTTTTTAGAGCATAGAGCACAATAATATAGTTTTTCTTATGTTGCCATATTTCACAAAATCTTTCTCAATAGATTTTACAAAACAAATATTAGACAAAAAATATTTATGCAAAATTTTATCTGACTACTACTGAGTTGAAATTGTTTTTCATTTATTTTTATCAACTATTAATCATTAGATTTTTTTTTTTTTTTTTTTTTTTTTTTTAATCGGTATGTTCAACTTTTTTGTAGTTTTAGTGTTAAAACAATAAAATATGGTTAAAGGATGTTTCACAAATGAAGCCACTTGTCGAATTTGTATAATGTGTCAATGTTTTTATTTAAACATTCCCTCTAACTGATTATGATAAAACTTTGTGAACAATGGATCTGTTCAAAAGAAAATAACGTAAGTATATGTTATGATTTTGTTTGGGGTAGGGGGTGCCAGTTACAATCCTCACCCCGGGTGCTACTAGACCTATGCACGCCACCAATTATATTGTGAGTGTGAAAATGACAGACACTGTATTTCTTAGAGAAACTTGTAATAACATTAGGTGACTAGTTAGTTATGGTGTCTCATTTATTGAGCAGGGATATTTTCTTATGCTGGATATATATATATATATTCATTTGAAGCTTGTTGCAAAGATATTGTTGTGCAACGTATGCAATGCACCAGAAAGTTTGTTTGGGGCTAAAATGTAGGTTTGACTAAAATTAAGAAATCTTGGGAGTGGTTGAGAAATAAGGCGCATCTTTCCACTGCAGCATCCTGTGGGTGAAGCCCAGTAAGAGAGAGAGGGGGGGGGAGAAAAGAGGGGGATAGAGAGGGAGGGGAGAGGGAGAGAGATAGAGAGGGGGAGAGAGAGGGAGAGAGAGAGATAGATAGAGAGAGATAGAGAGGGGATAGAGAGAGGGGAGAGGGGAGAGGGAGAGAGAGAGAGAGATAGAGAGGGGGGATAGAGAGAGGGATAGAGAGAGAGGGAGAGGGAGAGAGAGGGGAGATAGAGGGGGATAGAGAGAGGGGCGATAGAGAGAGAGGGGGGATAGAAAGAGGGGGGATAGAGAAAGGGGAGGGAGAGAGAGAGGGGGGAGAGAGAGGGGGAGAGGGGAGAGAGAGGGGAGAGAGAGAGAGAGAGAGAGATAGAGAGAGGGGGATAGAGAGGGAGAGAGAGGGAGAGAGAGAGAGGGAGATAGAGAGGGGGATAGAGAGAGGGGATAGAGAGGGGAGGGAGAGAGAGAGAGGGGAGAGAGGGGGAGAGAGGGGGATAGAGAGAGGGGGCGATAGAGAGAGATAGAGAGATGGGAGATGAGAGGGGGGGATAGAGAGAGAGAGGGAGAGAGAGGGGAGAGGAGAGGGGAGAGAGAGAGAGAGAGAGAGAGAGAGAGAGATAGAGAGAGAGGGAATAGAGAGAGGGGGAGAGAGAGAGAGAAGGGGAGAGAGAGAGGGGATAGAGAGAGGGGAGAGAGAGAGGGGGATAGAGAGGGGGGAGAGAGAGAGAGAGGGATAGAGAGAGGGGATAGAGAGAGAGAGAGAGAGAGAGAGAGAGAGAGAGAGAGTGATTTTTTGTATTATATTCTGCTTTAGAACAGGTGTTAAAGAGTGTTAAGAAAGGTCCCCTGGCAGACAAAATGGTGTAATCCCAGAGATGTCAAGGTTTGCATTTGTTAGCTGCAATGGTAAATTAGTATTCTTCTAATTTGCTGCCTTTTAGTAGATAATACAGTAACCAATTAACTTAATAGTTGATTGTAATGTTAACTAATTAGCTGTAGCAGAAATTTTTATAATTATTGTGTTTAAAACTATGACGCTGCAATTATCATTCTCTGCAGTCAGTGGCATTATGTATTTGTAAACCCATAATACTAATATAGGATAAATCTCTCTCTCTTTCTTTCTCTCTCACATATATATATATATATATATATATATATATATATATATATATATATATATATAGAAAAAGAGAAAGAAAAAGAAAGAGGAAAAGAAATAAAGAAAGACAGAGAGAGAGAGAGAAAGAAGGAAATAGAGAAATAGAAAAAGAAAGACAGAGAAAGAAATAGTGGAAGAAACGAGAAAGTAAGAAATAGAGAAAGAGAAGGAATGAAAAATAGAAAGAATGAAAGATAATGACAGAAAGATAATAAGAGAAAAAAAAGAGAGAAAGAAAGAAATAGAGGAAGAGAAAGAAATAAAGAGAAAGAAATAAAGAAAAAATAAAGGAAGAAAAATAAATAAAGAAAAAAATAGATGTTCAAAGAAAAAAGGACAGAGGGAAAAATTAGTGGAGAAAGAAAGAGGAAGAGGCTGAAAGAAAAAAAACAGAGAAAAATAAAAATTGATAAAGAAACAGTAAGAGAAAGAAAGACAGAAAAAAAGAAATAAAGAAAGAAAATAACAAAGGGATAGAAACGTTTTCAGAAACTGTATAATCTCCCACAGTGAAGTATAAACCTTATCCAGGGTGGTGATGGGTAAATTGTCACCATTTTATATTTTTAATTTTTTGCATGCACGTTATTTGTTTTTGATTTTTTTGATTGCACACTATAATAGGGCCAATTGGGCTTGCCTTTGTGAGAAAAATAGCATCATGATACAATTCACTCCATCAGAAATTTGGAAATGGCATGCTGTACTGCTTGGCTTTTGCATCAAAAGCTCCAATACAAACATTTCAGTGTGTTAGGGTGTTAATCTGAGGACAGTGCAGAGGATTTAGAAAGAGTTGGATGAGTCTAATGGTGATAAAAAATGTACAGCAGCTTGGAAAATTCACTCTGAGTGTTTTGATAAGAAAAGAACTCCCGAATTTGTTGGTAAGGGTTTCAGACTCAACACAGAGGGCTACATCAAGTGCCTTGAGGAGGTATTGCTGCCCTAGGTCAAGAGAGTGGCTGCTGGAAGAACATATGTCTGGTAACAGGACTCTACATCATGCCACACAAGCAGGAAAATGCAGTCATGGCCACCTAACTCCCTAGCCTGCAACGACCTTGTTTATTATTTTGAGGTGCAGTTGAGTGAGGGACCAACAAAACTCCTTGTAACACCAAAGATGAAATGAAGGATTATGACAGCATTCACCAACAGCATTTACCAACTTAAGAGAGTCCAGAAGAGTTGCAGGAGATTCAGAAGTCTTCTGGAGGCTGTAGTTGAAGCCAATGGCGATTTTATTGAATAAATTTACTCTTTAGTATTTCAGGATATTTTTGTGTAATTTTGGCAAATATATCTGTTAAGATGACATGTCAGTGTTATTTTCATTTGTGTGTAATTTAGATGACAATTTATCTATCGCACCATGTATATATCATAACACACATATATATTTATCAGACTAATCATATGTAAACTGAAAATTTTTTAATGTTGATTTTATTCTGTGAAGTTTGATATCTGTGAGTACATATATATATATATATATATATGAAGAAAAATATACGGAAAAAACAAACAAAAATCCTAATATGCAATTATGCTGTTTTAATGTTAATATAATGTTTTAATGTTAATATAATGTCAATATCGAATGTTTCGGTCTAGTAGACCATCTTCAGGACATATTCATAAACATAATTAACATTAGACTATATTAGTTTATACTAGTTTTCTTCATACTGTTGGATCTATATCCATATATTTGCTTACATATATATATATTTATATATATATATATATATATATATATATATATAGTGTTTAAAATATGCTTTATTTATAGTGTAAGAATGTACAATATGAAGCATTTAAAGATATAGACAGTATAGACATAGAAATCAACTGCATACTGACACCCAGTTCCATGTTTCAAGTGATCTTCAGACCATGTGTTGCAACTCATTTCATGAACTTCTATATATCAGCCACTGGTGGATTAAGGGATGTTGGCTAACAACTACATACATACATATATATATATATATATATATATATATATATATATATATATATATATATATATTAAAAATTAAAATCTTCAGACACACTGGGTTGTATAAATATATGATACACAATATATATATATATATATATATATATATATATATATTTTTGTATTCAAGTAAACAAATTTTAATAGATGTACCTTTGATTTTTACATCCTTTTTTGGGGGATCTAAGACTGACTGTTACATATTCAAATTACAATTGCTATCTACCTATATATTTTTCTACTTCTGTTACCAGAATTAGGAATATAATCCATTAGGGTCATTGGAGTATCACATATATTTCACCCAGAGCGGCATTAGGTATGTCTAGGATAAGAAAATCAGTAAAGCCCATCCTTTTTCAGGCTGTTTTTGAATTCAGAGTTTCCCTCTTCCTAGGCTGGTTGATCAATCAAGTCTAAAGGGTCCAGTTTGGTCTATTATTATTTAAAGGGGTTTGGATTCAGACAAGACTCAAGACAAGTGGGACCTGTCTTCCTTGCTATTTAACCCATAGCTGGAGGAAGATCGATTTATGTCTTTTCAAGGGCATTAGTACACAGTGAATGGTACATACTTGGAATTTGAATACAGTGTACTGATTCCATTTCAATAACTATTATGTTATCCACATATCCATTTAAAGATAGTTTGAATTAATTACATATCTACTTGTTTTGGATTATAGTAAAATTGATTGATTTGATTTTTATAGGTTATCAACCTTTTGCAGGTTATTTAAAGCCAGAAATTTTTTTTAGATTGTAAGAATATTTTTGAGAAAATAATTATTTATTGATATGGGTCCGATTAATTAATCCATATATGGTGGAGAGAAGAGTTGTATTCATACCTTTTCCAAAGATATTTGTGCATCGTAAGTGAATGTAATGTACCTGACACTGCAAATAGATCCCAGCTCTCTGATTTTCTACTCTGAGCCATTATTCATCACACAATCTGTACATCCAAGTTTACAGCACCTGATATTTCCAAGTTCTGCTTAGATTCTTTGCTGTATTTCTGCTCTCCAAGATTTGCTGCCATGCAAAAAAAAAAAAAAAAATGACAGAGCCAATGCATACATCTGGTCTTTAATTTCAAATGATCTTCTCTTCCAGATGGTTCTTAGTTTTCTAGAGCCACCATTGTTGGTGGTGCTTTTTATTAATTCTGGAGTCCTTTTTGTGATAATCAAGCTAAGATATTTGAATTATCTCACTGCATTAAGTTCCTGACCACTAACTTTGAACTTAGTTGAAAGTACTTTTTATTGTTCATATGAGTTTGGTAGAAATTTGTTTAGAAACTGTTTTACATAGGAGATCAGGAAGATCAGAAGTTTTTTAGCTTTGCAAAATTTACTCCAATATTATTATCAGCAATTATTGAAATTGATTATTCAATTTCATTATCAGGATAAAATGATGATTCCATGTCTTAAGTCTTATAAATCTTGTCATGTGACCACTTTATGTACATAAAATTAACTTGTAAACAACTGCTTCAAAAAGAATGTGTCCTCGGCATTCATATTCCACTTTTTTCTTATTTTTCTTGTTAATATTTTATTTTCTTCTTTTAATATTTGGTTTATCATGTTTGTCCAGCAATTTGATTCTGCATTTTAATACATTAATTTAGATTTATTTGAAATCCTATTCAAATAGAAATGCATTACATTACAGATTAACACAATTTTGATAAGCTATCACTTGCACATGTGTGTAACACTTTCAGAGAAAATAATTCAGTTCAGTCGGTCATTTGACTATTTAGTCAACTTTTTATATTATTTTCTTTTCTTGCTGCTCATCACCAATTCTGCGACTAGTGATTTGCACACACACACATCAGTTCTTCTCTGCAGGTTTCTAAAATTAATAAATCAATGCTATTGATAACATTTATTTTTTTGGTTATTGGCTGATAGCTGTCTGGAGGGAAAGCACCAGTAAGCCATTGATTCAGGTTCAGCTAATGTGGCTTCAGTTTCCAGTTGTTTAAAAATTCTGGTTGGGTCTCCTCTTAATATGAGACATAATAAAATAATACTTGCCCTGGAATCCCATCATTGAGACAGTAAATCCTTATTGTATAGGGCTATGTTTACATTAATATCAGCAAATGGAATATGGTAATACCTGGAAAATATATCTTTAAACATTTGAGCTAAAGTTATGTGAGATGAAGTGAGGCAAATGACCCCCACCATCTGAAGTCACTGACTTTATGTGACATTTTGATTTTGTGGAGGAGCAAATAAATAGTGTTCTTTCTCAAGGCACCACCTCCCCATTGGCAAACAGAAGTGAAGGTAAAAGGAACCCATAATTTTATTTAATGTAATCCACACCTTAAAAAACAATCTACGGTTGTATAATATATTTGGTATTTTATATTTCTAGTGAATACAGCAGGTATAACATTGTCCTGATAGAAGATAACACCTTTCTAAATGACGAATTCCAGACAGTTTTCATTGATTGCTGCCTTTAATCAGTTCATTTCTAAATGTTACTTGTCTGAATTCAATGTCTGATTTTTCAGAAGGAGTTTGTAACAATCAATGACCTTCCAAATCACCAGATACACAACATCATTATCTTTAGATGCAGACCAACTTTTGAAGTTTTTAATGGTGGCTCATTTAATTTTTCCCAGGACCTTTCTCACTCCACACTTTTATAGATAATCCATTTTTCATTGCTTGTGGTTGATCTTTTCAAAAATATATTGCAGATAGAAATGTAGTCCATTGTGTTTTTTCCATTACATCATGAGGCACCCAAGCATCTTAGCAATTCCCATATTCAAATGTTTTCAAACACCTTTCCATGCTCATATAAAATATGGTCAATGCCTATATGATATCTTGTGTTATGTATCCTGAATTATTTTAGTCAGCATTTTGATTTATTCATCATCAATGACTGCAAGCCTGTTGGAAGGCTCTCAATTTTTCAGATCAAAATGTCCATATCTGAACTTAGTAAACTACTTACTTACTTTCAGCTATAACACCATCTCCATAAATGGCACATCTTTTTTTTGTTATTTGTATAATTTTTTCCCTTTCCAGAAATAAAAGAGCATCAAATGACAAAACTACATCTCATTTTCCTCAATTTTCATGTTTAATGTGAAAATATTTAAGATTCAAAATCCATGTATGAAGCATACAGAAATGCAGACAACACTCCTATTGATCTCCGATCAGTCTTGAATAAAATATTTTGGTTCATGATGAGTGCAGTCTGGGATCTCTGAGTTAGGATTTTTCTTAATTCTGATGTCAAGAAGGGGAGTTCAAATTCCATAAAAAGGTGTTTCGCTAGTTAATTTCACCCCAGTCACTACTATGAGAATGTAACGTATCTGGCACTCTTAACTTTTCCTATTTTCTTGAAAGCAAGATGGACAGAGAAAACAATGCATAAACTACCTAGTGAGCTTGAGCAAATGGATGGTGGAACAAGGTTTAGGAGAAATAACAAAAAGACAAAGTTTATTAAGAGCTACAGGAAATTGTGAAGAGCCATGATTGCCTACGTCTTGAAGGGAAATGGCACATAGAAGAGCTGTCTTGATGTTGAAGCATATAAATAAAAGTAGAATTATTTTTTTAACTGTTTTTAGTCATCCAAGATTTTTTAACAACAGGGTCAGTTTTTATTCACAACACTTTTTCAGCCTCCAAACATAGAGAATTTGCCTCTGAAACTTAACAAAGTGCCGGTTCAAAGCACAATGCTACAAATTATATATATGGACTAAACGTCTATGAGATCAGTTTGGAACATGTTCAGCTATTTTGAACATTTGGAGAATAAAAACTTACAAAAATTTGCAGCCATTATTGCACATCTGTGAAGTCTCTTGAAGATTAAAACACTCAAATGACAGTGAATGCGCCTGTGTATTGTGTAATCATCACACATTGACCAAGAAAAATGGTTTTCATTTATTTTTCTGGGTGTTTTTGTAAATTATTGCATTAGTTTCGTTTGTCATCATCTCTACAGTTCAGAATGGACTTCCTAATATTTGGTGATTTTTATGGTGTGAAAGCTGATAGAGAGAAGAACATGATACATTTTGTAATGTGACAGTCAACAAGCAAAATGACAGAATTCTCCTTTTTACCTATGCTAAGGGAAGATAACACTGTGTAAGAAAAATCTGTCTTTGGTTAGTAAGTATTATTTCCTAATTGATTCAGTCAAGAAAGCAAAAGAAATTACTGTTATTTTCTTCAAACTTTGCTCTTGTGACATGAACATCGATGTTTTGAAACTAACCTGCTTCCCATTATATTCCAAACAGATTCAGTGCTAAATTGCTGAAGGAGAATGTTCTAGAACTTTGTAAAAGTTTCAAGAATTTTCTAGAAACTTCTAAAAGTTTTAAGAATTTCTAGAACGTTCTGGGAACATAGATGGCAGTATAAGTACAGGGGACGTCAGGTCAACAGTTCAGTTTACTTCTAGCTTACGTCCCCTGTACTTATACTGCCATCTATGTTCCCAGAACGTTCTAGAAATCCTGTCCTTTTGTAGCTCTTAATAAACTTTGTCTTTTTGTTATTTCTCCTAAACCTTGTTCCACCATCCATTTGCTCAAGCTCACTAGGTAGTTTATGCATTGTTTTCTCTGTCCATCTTGCTTTCAAGAAAATAGGAAAAGTTAAGAGTGCCAGATACGTTACATTCTCATAGTAGTGACTGGGGTGAAATTAACTAGCGAAACACCTTTTTGTGGAAAGGCGTTTGAAAAGCAGACAACCATCGTTGATTGGGGCATTTGTCACAGATGACATCAAGAGATTGTAAGCATACGGTTGATGCATTTTGTTATGTCTGTGGCGAATTTATCATGCAACTAATAGCTAAAACGGGAGATCTATTCCAAAAGCTCCTCGTTTCACTGGGAACGACGCATTTTACTTTCGATTTGGGATTGCGGTAGTTTGCAACTGCTTAAAACGTTCTTAGAAATGCTTACTTTCATACTTAGAGTAACTAGTTCATTTAAGATTTACTATTTCTTATGTACTTGCTATATTATTTTGATTATTGCAGAAACAATTTTTTGTGTGAATTCGCTAATAAATGTCAAATGTCTTGGTTTTGTCACCTGGAATTATTACATTTTTTTCATTTTAAGTTTGTTATATACCGTACCTATGAACACTAATGGGTGTGTCCCAATCCTCATAAATACACTATTGTAAGTGTGTGTGTGTGTGTGTGGGGGTAATAGGCTGTCTAAATGGTCCATCACTAACAGTGGTTTACCTACTTCAAGCCGCTGGCGAGTATTGTATTTTGTTGATGTTATAAAGATTACCATTTCATTTCCAACTTCCGTTTTGGTTATTCCTCATTCAGTAACCCTTTCTAAGTTATAACAAAGTTCATTTATTATTTTCACTTATAGTTAGTTTATATTCTTTTTTTTATGCATTTCTTTTCTATTAATAAAATTAAATAGACGAATGAAAAATGTTTGTGGAATCTGTAATTCTGTTTCTAACAGATAAAGTATTTTGTATTTTTACCACAATCCTTTTTTTAATGTTAGCTTTAAATTTCTCCCCAAAATTCTGAAATTAAAACATTTTGAAATAAACCTTCAGCTGTAGCCCTTAAATTTATAAAGAGCTACAAAGGTGAAGAACTTGTGGAGAGAAATGATCGACAACATCCTGGAGGGACGTGGTACATAGAAGCAGGAGATACTACGAAGCAGAAAATATCTGTAGGGACATTATTATTATTATTATAAATAAATAAATAAAAAAAATATAAAATAATAGTAATAATAATAATGAAAATTATAAATAAAATAAAACAATAATATGAAAAAGTTGTATAAAATAAATTAAATGGAAAATGAAAATAATAAAAACTCTCCCAGCAGGTGACAAAAACAGTTCCTGTCGGAAATACGGACATCCTGTCAAAAGACGTTAAAACTAATCTCTTCAACACGAACCCTCAGACAGGCAACATGTATGCAACTTCTCTTTGTGATATGGCATGTAATATGTAGTGATTTCTCTCTTTTATCACATGTACCATAAAACAATTGTTACCTAATAAATACACACATTAATACACACAAAAATATAAATAAATTCTATGAAAGTAACATACAATTTACTATGCCTTTATTGTTATCTCTGTATGATTTATTTCTGTGTCGTATGTTTTTATTTTCTTGAACACGAGGCTAATTTCTGTTGCTTTGACGTGAGGGACCTCACATATCTGAGTTTTGTTCCGCATTCAGTTCAAAAGCAACCCAAATATTTAGACTTTTTTGATAGCTACTCCTAAATAGTTCAAAATATTATCAGTTGATACAGAGATAATTGCTGTGAGATTTCAGGATGAGGGTTTCACACCATTCACCACAACAGCCTTTAAGTGTTTATTGATATAATCGTTTTAGTTAACCGCTCCTGTTTGTGAGTTTTCTGTTTATTTGTTCTCAATGCATTGTTCCTAAATGTGGAATTTACATCCTTTGCAGCTTTCACGCTATTATCGCTTAGCTTGAAGTCATGTTGGTATAAAACGTGACAATCGTGAATTGAAAGGCTTTGCCGAGAAAGAACGGACGAAAATTTGCACCGTATAATGAACAAATAATACATTCTTAAACATAAACAACCTTTAAAACATGTTTTCGAGAAGGGAAGAGAAAAAAATACTAAAATTTGATAATTTCTCTCAAGTAACTTCTTAAAAAAAAAAAAAAAATGAAATGTTGGCGCACTTTAAAGGGGGAGGCATGTTGCATCAAATCTCTTCTCTTTCATCAAATAGTCGCTATACTCGTTTGAAAAGTTTTAAAAGATTCCTATCTATTTCAAACGAAAATGGAATCAAAATGATAGGATCAGAAAGAGGCAGTTGGGGAACATAACGAGTAAAGAGGGCTTGGAGAATTTGATACTCACAGGGCATATAGAAGGCAAGAGGGACAGCGGGAAATAGCGAATAGCCTATTTAACGAGAAGGTGTAAATGGATATCAGATCAGGGAGTGGGAAGGATACTAAAAACAAACATTGCTTAGCGCCACAAAAGAAAGGAAGTTTTGGAGAACCATGATCACAAGCTTTCCTTTAGGGTGCGGCACATAAAAGAAAAAAAAAAACTTTAAGATATATTTTCGATTTTAAATCTTTTATTTATTTTGAACTGAACGAGGAAGAAAACTCAGATATATTTTTTGTATTACGGAAAAATAGATTTTTAAGTGGAATCTTCCCAAAATCTGGATATGGTGGAGAAGCCGAAACATCAAGCTTTTATTTTTCACCTAGTTACTCCTTTTGCTCTAAAAGAAAATAAGTAGCAAGATAGGATTGAATTTAAGTAAATTCTAATACAATAAATTGAGCATAGTACAATCAGGCTTTTGAATATAATGCAGATACCTTTTATTGTCGATCAATCTTCTACATAGATAAAAAAAAAGACTTTTAATAAGGTTTCCAATTTAATCAGCTAAAGAATTGTGTTCCCTTTTCTTCTCAAATATTAAATACATCAATTACTTAACTTCAATGACTGTTTTAAATAAAATATTTCAATAAACTTGCAAGTTAAATCAGAGGTTTCCAAATAATATGCTGCAGAGCCTGGGGCGCGCCGCAAGTGAGCTCTCAGGTTCGCCGCCGGATAGTCACGAATTTTAATTGTCATACACGTTGATTTGCACCCGGACCGAATAAAGTGCGATGGCAGATACACGCCGTCAGAGCCAAAAATCCATTAACTTCATTGACAGGAATTTCAACCCTTGCAGTTCTATAACTTAATCCAAATGACGAAAGTTCCATTATGTTCTTAGCTTTCTAATAAAAGATACAGTGTACACGACGTATTTGTTTCAAATTCTTCAAACAGTGCCATTGAGAAAGAGAGGTTAAAAGAGTACATATCTTGCAGTGAATGACTGAGTGAAACGGATTATATTTGTTCCTTTCTTTTCTTCGTAAACAGAAAAGAAAAAAACAAACAAACTCCAATCCATTTGAAACATCGTGACTCACTCTATCGATATACATCAGACAAAAATGGACCCTTACTATGTGTCTATCTTTGTGTTGGTTTACTTTGTAAATATCTGCGAAACAGGACCTATACATTGTAAATCGATCAGCCACGTGAGATTCAAGAGACTTGGTTCTGTGATAGAATTTACTCTTCCTCAAAACTGAAAAGCGAAACATTTCCCAAAGAAACAAAGCTGAGATTCAAAAACTTTCAAACCACTGAGGAAAAAATATTTTCAAAATGAATTCAAGTTTGCTTAACCGAATCTTGAAATTTTTAATATCTTACACATTTATAACTCGCTCCTAGCGGTTATAATATTATGTGACGCATAGGCTTAGGCTACTCGCCGTGACGTCATTAGAAATTCTCCTCGACTGAATCTAACGGATTGGTATTTACCCAGTTTCCTCACTGAAACGAAATTTGACACAAAGTCGAGTTTACTGTGGAGAACCCGAGCTCGAACACTCTGGTCAAAGGTCAAAATTTATCCAGCTACCGCAACCCCGGGATCGGGCACTTGGCATTGTCTATTCTACTCAGCCGAGTCACCCGAAGATAGAGAGCTTGACAATCGCGAGGCAAGTATTGGACTGCCTGACTCCGAATGCGTGGCATTTACCGGTCGCCCCGCTGCTGACTAGATGCGGCACAGTGTCAAGTTTTATATGGGAAACCCAAGCGTTTCTACCCGGGCCACTAATCAAAATTTACCCAGCTACCGCAAAAGCGGGCTCGGGTAGAAACTGATCTGATTTTCTCAGCCGAGTCTCTGTCCGAAGACAGAGCTTGATTGAATCATCCTCTGCTTGAAGACGGAGGTCTTGTCTTGTCGCGAACCAGACAGCGGACTGCCTGACTGTGGCGATCTGGTATTTACCAAACCTTCTCACGAGGCAGGATGTGGCACAAGGCCGGTTTTTATGTGGGGCGATTCCGAGCCCGTAGGCTTGGGCAAAAATTAACCGTAGACGCCGCATACACGGGGTTGGGTTTTTTCTACCTCCCCAGATGAGACTCTGCCCTTTGGCATAGACTCGTCTGGGTTCTTCTCTTTCCGAATGCAGCGAGTTTGATAAGTTAACTGCGAGCCAGGCAGCAGACTGCCTTACTGTGGCGATCTTCTTTTGGCTCACTTTGAGTTCTTTATTTAAGGCGTCTTGCCAAGTCCATTTGTGTTACCAGGGGTGTCATAGTTACTCCAGAACACTTACACATTTATAAGTCTAAGATTCGCCCATACATTGAATATTGCATTCATGTGATGTTTCTGTATTTAAAGATTTTTGATAAAATCCAAAGAAGATATATAATGATATCGGTCCTGACCTGGCATATCGGCTTTAGTAACTCTCCCACTGCCGTAATGTAATGCCCCTGTGTCTTTTCTATAAATATTTTCTTGGTAATTGTTCTGATGTGCTTTCCTCTATAGAATTTAAGGGTTGCGTTGGTTGGTGTATTGTAGGTGTGTACGTATCCACAGGTAAACAATTAAAGAATAAGCATGCAAAAAAACTTGGGTTTATATTACGAACCGTTTATTCTTTTTTTAACGACTGTAGGGAAACAAAGTTCTTAATGTCTCTTGGGTATATCCGTCTGTCTAAAACTTAGGGTATATTAGCATAAGCATCGTTTTAATAGTTGAGCTCAAGTCAACCTTGCGCTGAGTTGGAAGGACCAAAGAAAAGGCTGATTTACTTCATAGGTGGAGGTTTTGGAAGAAACGTGTGTACGTTATGTATTGGAAAGTGGAAAGAGTGTTCAGTTATAAGTGGACCGGAGGAGAAAAAAAGACGTTTCCTCGCATAGATATCGACGATCTGCTATATCTTGAAACAAGGGAGAGAAAAAAGAAGAGGAAGGAAATGTTTGTCTTTTTATAGACGTAAACAGAGCTACCTAACGACCGTTTGGTGAAGCTAAGTGGGCCGATAAATTTCCGGTTCCTTTATTACTTGCATCATGGGAAAAATTTTTTCTTTTTTTTTTTTCATTATTGTTATTTTATTTATTGATTTTATTTCAATTTACCGACACCAAACGTACTAGATTGTCTGTTAGTTCTCATAATCTTACTGTTGGAATTACTAGATGTAATCGTAAGTTCCATGCTAAAATAAAAGTTAATCATCATTTTCTGTTTCCTTAATACCTGTTCGTTTATTGGTCACTCGCTTTAATAATGTTTTTCTCATATTCTTTCACACCCAGTAACCCCTTTCGTCTTAGTGGCTTAATCTCGTAATTATAAAAATAACGTAGTCAGATCAATGTTACTGTAGTTGCAGTACCAACGAGTATGAAGGGCTTTGTTCGATTGTTTTGTCTAGAATGCACGCTTAAAGAAAAGGAATGATAAGTAACACACACACACACACCAATAGCAGTGACGCGTTGTTAAAGTGAAAAGGTGCATTTATTTAAAGCATGCACCTTGGACGATATGCGATTATGAATATAGAATTGGTCGTGAGATTTTACTGCTTTATACTGTTGAGGTTACCAATGTTGTATAACGTCGGTGGATACCAATGTAATTGGTAACGTGTGTTTGGTTGAATAGATAAATGTGGCTGCGTGTTGAATAAGCATTTAACATTCATACATATTTTTTTAAATATCAACGAAAAACAATGAAGAACCAATTTGTTTCAACGAATAAACATATATATTAAAATCAACAATTAATACAAGGTAGTTGTATAATATGTGAATAAAGAGAAAAAAGTAGTTCCCCTTTATCTGTTAGGAAATGTTTTTAAACAAGTTTTTCTGAGTATAAAGTTCAGAGTTTTCTGAATATAAAGTTCAGAGTTCTGTGTTAAGATTGAATGTATCTTCAGAAGATTGTTCAGTTGTGTGTTTGTAACTAACAGAGTTGTTTCAACTTGTTTTGTTCACACAGAACTGATGTTGTATGAAATTCAGGTTCTGTATCTGTGTGTGTGTACGTGCGGAGTGAGTAGAATGAATAACACGAGTGAGTAGTCGAGATCTATTGTCTCTGCTCTGTACTCTACTGTGGTCTATTACTCTACTGTCTGATTTGGGAAATGCATCCAAATTTATACTACTATATGTGGCAAGCAGCACAAACGCGGGATATATTTTTGAAGGTATACGAAAAATACTCGATTGGATGAAAAATGAACCAATCAGTGATTTTATAACAAAACTTGTTTGTGAGCAAACTGTAGGAAAAAAATTCAGTATGGTGAAATGCGGTCGATAAATTGTCTTATTATTTTTAGTATATATTAATCGACCAATCAAAGTTGAAGAAATATAGGCGTGGCACTATGCTAAGCTCCAGAAGAGTAACGCTTGCTGTCTTCTTGGTCTCACGTCTTCCACTCACATAGTGTGTGAATATTGAATTAATTGCTGTCTGCTGCTAGGAAAGTTGCTTCACTGTGTCGAGCCAAACAATTTCTCTTGACAGAAACCTGGCATACTGAACTCTTTAGACTTGGTAGTGCAACCAGTCTAAGAGAAAGACAGTCCAAAATCTTAAAAGGATTGAACCCCATTAGGCTATCTTGCCCCAGACGTACCCATCACTGCAGTTCGTGTGGTGTTCC